GTTTGATTATTTTAAAATAGAAAATAATTTTGAGGTAATTTTTTATATTATTTTTTATATAATTTGATATATCATTTAAATAATTAATTTTATTTATTTATATAAAATCTATAATATTAAATATATGAAAATAGTGACTATCAACCTTACCTCCAAAGATTAAAAGAAAAATCATTTTAAAATTACTTCGTTTCAATAAATTTTTATTAAAAAAAATTAAATTATTTTATTTTTAAAGTATGCATTAAGGTAGTTTTTGCCATTTTTTTTAAATTTTTTAAAAATAAGACGAACAAACACTAACCCTTAAGTATATTTACTCATTAAATGAGATATAAATCAAGATCCAATAATGAATGAAAAAAAAGAAGAAGTGGTAATGGAAACAATTAATTAGCAAAAGATAAGATTTTATTTTAATAGGCGTAAGCAAGCTACAAAAAAGCGAATTAATTAAACTGGAAACTACCATAGACAAATTGGGTTTGATCTATTATCAAGGGCGAATACAAGCACAGTAATTATTCTCGAAGCAAATTAACCGGAAAAGCTCAGAAAAGAAGCCGCCGGCGGTCAAGATTCCGGCGTGTTCAGCCGATCTTAACTAAAAGGGGTTCGGCAAGTACAAAATCGGGGCCTTCAGTCATAACTTACTAATTAATCTAGGCCTCTACGTAACCAAAAATTACCCCGAAAATCTTCACAGCTTTCTTCACTTCAATCTTGTAATAGTTGACTCCGGTCGCTTCTTCCATCTCCTTGTAAAACTCGATTCCATCACCAACCTGAAGATCATTAAAACGAACATATTCAAGCCATTTGGAGCAGAAGACGGGTTTGGGGTGTTTCTTCTTGCGGATTGAGCATTTGAATTTCCAGACTTTGCCTTTTCTTGCATCCCTAACGCGTAAACCCACCGTGTGCCCTTCTTCGAAATCCGGCAGGGATGCAAGGCTCGTCATCGGCACCGATAGCCTCTTCTGGACATCTGTTTTGGTTAGTGATTTGGAGAAAATTAGTTCCATTTCTTAATTAGGATGGTTGCTCTAATTTTCATAGTTTCCGTGTTGTTGTATTTATATGCACAAACGGAACTATGGGAGAAATTTTATAATTTTGGACGGTGCAATTTGAAACCAATGAAAATGATTCTCTTTCAAAAGGTTCATTAAAGATACATGTTCATGATAACAAAACTACAGATATCCCAGTCAATTGCTTGTTAAAATAAGGTAGATAATACTAATAAAATACTATATATACTCTCACATCAAGCAAATCATCCATCAATTACTTGGTTTATATTGATCTTGACTGACTAAATTTAACGGTTGTATTTTGTTTTCTTGGGTGTTTGAGTAGAAGGCATCCCCTGTGGAAAGTATAGGGTGAAATGTAAGTGCCTTATTTATATATATATATATAAAATAAATATTAATTTTTAATTAATATATTATATAATATATTAAATCAAAAAATACATCAATCAGTGACCTGTTGATTAACGATGGAAGGCGATGACTTTGCCCTGTTAAAATTTTCCAATCCCCAAGAAAAGTTGCAGATTCTAAAAAAAGTGCATAAAAGAAATGAAGAAAATTTAGAAGATCTCTTCAATCCTAATCCATAGGTAAAGCTTTAGTTGTTTTTTCTATTAAAAAAAGAGATATATAATTAATGATGAAAGTGATATTTATTTTAAATTTCTATTTTTATCATTAGTGAATGAAAGGGTATGTTAGAGCACGACCTTATTCTAAGAAAAATGTACTAATGATTTGTAATATTAGAGGCAAGGTGTTGAAAATGAAACATTACCTAAACCTAATCCTCTTTTAGTCTTTTGATTTTTCTTATAGGTCTTTTAGTCCTTTTATTTATTACGTGTCCACACGTCAAACAACAATAATGCATGTATTTGCACCACCTTGTTCAAAGTCGTTTGAAAATGTCATCTGTCAACCGACTTTATCTCCTGTCTAGGATATTATTGGCTCTTGGCTAGTGTTTTTCAAGTCTAGAAGGTCGTCTTACTTAGTACCATTTTTGCGGTAAACGTTTCTATGTTTCAATTAAAGGTGCAAATGATTCAATACAAGCTTTGCTTATCTCCTAATTAAACAGCATCGAACGATACTAAAAGAAATCTTCTGATTTTCCGTTGTGATCCTGAAATGATCGACCCTATGCTGCAAATAAAGACGTTTAGTTTTGGGACCACTGACAATGAGTTCATGAACAAGTGATTAATGTAGGATGACTCTTAAAAAAAAAAAAAAAAGAAAAAATGAAGAAGAAGAAAGGAGTAACCTATGGGATGACTACTCATGTATGAAGTTAATTAAAGATTTGCTTGATAATATTTCTCACAAACTTTTTTCATGTAGTATCTTAATTATTTTTTAATATAATTTTTATATATTATTAAATAAATAAATATATTTAATATTATAAATATTATATAAATAAAAAAAATTATTTATTTAGATAATACATTGAATTATATTAAAAATTAATAAAAAATAATTGTTCCAAAATCATTTCAATCACCCCAATCCATGTGGGCCCACACTTTTTGTTTCTTTACTTCATCCTTCCACTTTGCCTTCACCCTTTCTTCTCGGGCATTATCAAAAGCTTTGCTGTTGGTTACATCTAATTCTCCAATTCCAGCCAACCCTTTTTCTCTAGCCCTTCATCTAACAACCCGAGTGTATTAACAGAGCTCTTGTGAAATTTCCCATGGTAGCTTGAAAAATAATTGAAACTACTCCTATAATAACGAATGAATTTGCCAAAAAATGGTGAACTTTTAAGGTTTTTATTGTGATTTTTTGGGTGGATTTTGTTCCATTTTAATGGGAAGAGAAGCTAATCGAGATGAAATAAAGGAGATATGGTAGGGTGGGTATAGAGGACCAGATCCAGCACAGTCACAACCTCTAACAGGGTAAATTCCACCGCCACCACGATATGGGAAAGGTGAACAGATCTAGCAACTAAAGGCTACTTAAATTTGCATCTATCTTGCTTATACTTCAAAGGGGTGCTCTCCAATCACAAAGATCTTCATGCGCAAGTCCCATGGGTGAGGATATGCATAGATGTGGAGAGGGGAGAAAGGAGACTGGCGATGAGAATGAAAGACAAACAGGAAGTGGCGTGAATGAAGGAGATACAGGAAGGGGCGAGGTTGAAGATGATGACTCGTGGGCCCATTAATTTCCGTTTATTTATTTATTTATTTTTTCTCTCTTCAGGGTCCAAGAGTTGAGGTGGATGCCACATCATTTAAATTGTTACCGCATCATTCTAGATTATCCACGTGATAGCCACATCGACGAAATCATGCCACGTCGTAGTTAACTTCTTTTTCTTTTCTTTTTTTTTTTTTTTTTATTTTGGCAGATTATGAATTATAAAAGGTGTTTATCAAGAAAAGAAAATTTTAATATGTGAATTAAAAAACAAAAAATGTTTAGGAAATAAAGGGGAGTTTGGTCAAAAAAGGAAACAATAGGGTAAAATTAAAAGAAAAGTATATATGATAAATTATAATAAATTTTAACTATAAAAAATAAAAAAGATAAATAATTTAGATTTAATAAAATATAATATATAAAATTTATGTGTAAATAGATATTTTCTTATATATATGTAATGGCAATTTAGTAATTGTTTGTAATAAGTGGGAATTTAAGGATTATAAATATATCTATTAATCATGCAAAATTTAACACTATTAAAAAAGTTTTAAAAAATATTGATTATTGATCAAATGATATAGATATTAGTTCAATTTGAAAATTGGTATGTATTATTTACATGAATAAATTATTTAATCAAACAATTATTTTTTAAACTATTAATAAGATGATAATATTTCTTAAAATGAAACTTTAATTTTTTTTTAAAGTTAAAATTGATTTCCACTTTTTTTCAAGTATTATTTATCAATTTTAGGTGTAACTTGTTGTAATTTAATTATGGATATCAACGACCTGTTGATACGAGTGGAAAAAGGTCAAATTTTTTAAAATAAGATTTCGAGTTCAAGTTTTATAAATAGAGAAATAAATATTAAGAGTATTTTTTTCTGATAAGATCCGAAATGATTTAACTCTGAATTTATCAAAAATAAATGTGATTATTGGATAAATGAAGATTAATTAAAAAATTTATAAATGAAAGATTTCATAGGAATGGATGCCAATTTTTTTAGCTTTAAAATGAAGAGTCGCACTCAAGGAATATAATTCATAAATTCTATAGCTAATTAAATTGATTCGAACATCGAGGAGTCCTCTCCCTCACGAAGGAGCTTAGTCCAAAATAAATGCCAGTTGTAAAACTGACCTTGACTTCTGCTGCTTGCTTTAGTTGCCCTTCAATGTGTGATTTTTTCATTTAACTTTCCTTCTTCAAGTTTGATATGAGCTTCAATGGTTGAGCATAGACTCTGCTATGGGTTCCAAAAAAAAAAAAAAAAAAAAAAAAAAGTTCAATTTAAGATTTTAAGAAAATAATATTAAAGACCTATTCTTAATCTTGTTGTAGGAAAGCGGGCTTTAAACTATACTTTAAAAAATAAAAGGATCTGTCTTTAATTGATTCTTGGTTCCGGCACTGCTTATTATGTGAATTTCATAATTTAATAGGTTCCCTATAGAAAAAAAGAAGCTGCGCTGATACATGTAGTAAATGGAATAATTCATCTGATCGAAAATCTCAGCTGGAGAAATGAATTAATTAACCATTCCAAAACAATTTCCTGAATTTCAGAAAAATTATTCAGTACATGTTATTATTGTTGACACACCCAGTTACATATATATGTCATTGAATCAAACAAATTAATCATCACGCCTTTCACACATTCATTTTTGGTTAATTAGTAAAAAAGAATAATGAACTTCTATAATGGTACCTTGGACACTAATTAAGTCCCCTACTAAAGTCATATTTCTGCCCAAATATCCTCACCAAACAATCTGATCTTTCTCCTCACTTCAACCCTGAAAATCGTCCCCTCCGCCACAGATTTTTCCTTGAGAACCACCTTGTCATTTGCCCTGACACCTTTCTCACGAACATATTCATCCCAACAAACAGAAACCATAGTTCCAGTTGTCTCGTCATGGTGAAAAGTATAGGGGAAACTCCAAGCTTTTCCAGTATTATCTAGAGCTTTCATGTACAAAAGCCCTTCTTCCGGTATACTCGATCCCACAGAACAAGATGGGATCAACAAATTTTTCTTGACATCGGATTCGGTTACTAACTTTGAGAACGTTATTGCCATGTTGATGCTGCTAATGCTCCTTGTTTGTGAAGGTTGTCGATGGGATTGGATTTGGGATGTGAGTGAGAGACTACAGGTTGAATTGAAGAGCTGTTCGATGCTGAAGATTGAATTTGGGTTTGCATTTATAGTTGAATTTATCGCATACACAGGGGCAATTCTTCTGGGAACAGTCAAGAAATTTCAACAACGGTTTTAAGACGACGACACGGTCAATTGCTATTAAGTTTGAACTTTGAATTGCTATGTAATATTGGAACATCTTCATTTTTGTTTCATCCAAGGAAACAACATTGACTTAATTATTTGAACCATGTTGTGTTAATCTTAGTGTGTGAATCTATTTTATTTTGTATTATCTTAAATGCTCTGTTTGAATGTGTCAAGTCCAGGTGTTGTGTTGGATTCATTCTTAAGCTTGTACTCATTGTATATGAAAAATTGAATCGGTCAAAAAAGTGCTAACTTAACTTACACTTTTGTGTTAGAAATTAAAAATATTATCCTAGAAATTAACATCAAATGATATAGAAACTAAAACTACTTTTAATTAATAACGATCATCATGGCAATACCCTCCCAAGCAACTTGCTCTTGGCGTACTTTCGGGGCTTAATTAGCGGTAATAGTTATTTTTTAGTCAAATTATTAAAATAAATTAAAATTAAAAATTTTTAATAATGAGTTAGGAATGATTAAATCTTAATAGTATTTATTATTATCATTATTATTATTTACATTAGCTAATAATGAAGGAATGCATAATTTTCATTTATTTTTTAGTTTAATATAAATTATTAACCATTATAGTTATTTATAACTTATTAAGAAAACCTTTTAAATTTAACTTGTTTCTATAATTTAATAAAAAATTAATTATTATCGCTAACCAAACATGATCTAAAGGTCCTATGTTTGAACTTTGCAGGATCTGCCACAGTGCCACCCCTTCCCTATGCCCCCTTCTTCTGTACTATCAAAAAAAAAAAGAGTCAGGGCATCTCTGAAATTCACGTGAAAAAGAAACGGGTACTATGAGGGACAACTGAATGGCTTAGCTCCACGAAACCCCTCTAACTATTTGTTTTTAAAACCATTAGCCCCTCAACGTACATATTATATGTTTTAGTTCATACACTTCACGTCACTGCTGTAACTAGTATAAAATATACAAAATCCCATTATGTGAGTTATGTAACTACCTCTAGTCTTTACCCTCTCCTTGTTAGTACCATGTTAGTATAAATATAATCTACTTAGACTTGTAAAGATATAAATTTTACCCTAAGCACACACGGATTGCATTCTGCATAAGATTTTTTTCTACTTCCATAGATTCAGGTGGACTATATTTATGCTGACATGATGTTGACAAGGATAAAGTAACAAAATAGAGAGACCCCCGTAACTCATGTAATGAGATTTTATTTATTTAAGACAATTATAGTAATAAGATTTTGTGAGTTAAAAACATACAAAATGTATGTTGAGGGAAGCTAATGTTCTCAAAAACAAATAATTAGAGGGGTTTTAGAGAGGCCCAAGCCCAACTGAATCTCTATAAATCGATTGTGTATTTTCTTCCCTTTCCTAATAAAAACTTGTTAGAATTGGAACTGAATCAGGCCTAGAACTAGATGGGCGGCATATATAGTGGGCTGCCTGAAGTTCCCAAATCCAAAAAGGTTAAATATCAATTTTGGTTCCTCAATTTTAAAATTTTATATAATTTTAATCTCTTAACTCTTTTATACACTTATAATTCCTCAACCATAAAAAAATGTCAATTAATCCATTTAGGGATGTGAATGGGTTTCTTCAAGGGAGAGAACCCCTCCACTTCCCCATCTCCATCATTGACCAATAAGGGGATCCCCACAAGGATTTTTGATGGAGAGCAAAAAATTTCTCTTCATCGCAATATACTTGCAAGGAATGAAGGGATTGAAAGATCCCACGGGGATTCCCCATACCCATGAAAGTATACAAAAATACTTTTTTTTTTATTTGGTTATATACAAAAATAAATTGATTCATTCAATTCTTAGCTTAGAAAAAAGTCCAAAAGCTTTTTTTTTTTTTAAATAGTTATTTCTAAGTTTTTTTTTTTAGAAATTAAATCAAAATAAAGTAAAGTAAGTTAAATTCAAATTAAGAGAAACCTATTAAACAAAGAGGTGCAATCAGAAGAAACTAAGATAGTATAGAGAAGAGATGAGCGAGTCAAAGTTTTTGTAGTTAAGATTGGTGAGTTTGAGAATTAAGATATATGTTTATTATAATTTATAAAAACAAAATTTATAATGTTTTGTATCAATTTATGGTTCCCCATGGGAATCCATGGGGCAAGAGAAATTCCTTATGAAATTTTACAAGAAAAAATTACCTCCATCCTCACCCCATGGGAAAGAATATTTTGAGAATTTCTATTTCCATGACAGAGATCTCCCCAGAGCTCCATGGATTGTGGAGGAAATTGTCATCCCTAAGTCTATTTAGTTAATTTGTCTACATATGCATATTTTTATTTTCTCAACTTTAGAATTTTATATAATTTTTGTCACTTAACTTAAAAGTTTAAGGAGTAAAAATGTGTATATATGAACATACTTAATGGACTAACTGATGGAATAATTAAAAAGTGCATTTTTCATAATTAAGGAACTAAAAAGTACATAAAAAATTAAGGAACTAACCTGTGTAAAAGCTCAAACTTAAGGAACTAAAATTGACATTTAACCTTCAAAAAAACTAAGACCATTGGTTCAAAATTGGAGCCTGTCCTCTGACCATTACTACTTAGATCGGAGCCCCAAATTAAGGTTGGGGCCTCAAAATCATGCTTAATGTTATTAGATTTTTCATTTTTTCATAAAAACCTTGTTCATTAAACAATATCACTGAAATAACTTAATGATAATCTCATTTTCATAAAAGTAAAAAGTTTTCGAAGTGCATGACATGGGGGTAGAATGAACTTAGAGGATAAAAAAGAGTTATTTTTCATTATGCAATGCAATATATATATAAGCAATGCCATTAGATTGTTTCCTTATCAATATCTTCCTTTTTTTTAAAAAAAAAAAATATGTAGTATAACTTACACATACTATATAACTTATAATTATTAATAAATAGTAGATTCTTTAATATTAAAGTGGTCTTCTAAACGGCTATCACATTGCTATCAATTTTTTTTTTTTTTGGGTACACATGAATAATAACTAAGAAAAATCAGTACTCTATATTAAGCTATTTTATCAGAGATTTTGCATGTATAAATTATTCTCCTCTCCGCCTTTAGGCTTCGATCCAATAGTTAAAGCAGTACTTGACTACACGCAACAAAGTCCAGCGTACCACAGGCCGGACCACAAGGGAATCAAAAGACAGAGGAATCAACATTTTGCACAAGTAGAACAGGACATTTCCACCTAAAATTGGTAACAATTCAACCAACACCAGCTTCAGCAGCGTATTTCTAAAGGCAGTGCCATCTCTTTTCCAAAGAATGTTGTGGAACTTTTCCAAATATTCATCGTCTCCAAAATCATCCTTGACGAGATGCATCAAGACATTCTTCATCAGTGCCAGAATTCTATGTTGGATTGAATCCATACCGATCTGTTGGTATATAATTCTGGCTTTGAGAAGAGTAGCTTCAGACCTCAGTATGATTGCCTGAGCTGTGAGTACAAGGCTGCTTTGTTCACCAATTTATACTTGTCTACATGTAGCTGGTCAATGGAGTTAATTTGAAAGCATTAATTATTGTCGAGCAAATGACAGCTGACGGCAGGCACAGCTACCATAAAAAAAAATTTGTTATAAATTAATTATAAAAAAATACATTTATCATATATTTGTGCTCCACATGTTGAAGAAACCTTACTACTTTAAGTAAAATGGTGGGTAGCCGTCTGCCGCAATTTAATCACGTTAATTACTCATTCAAACATCTCTCTTTTTTTTTTCTTTTTTTTTTTTCCGATTAATTTGTAATTATTTATAAGGTTAATTGGGAGAGTGGGAGAAGAGATTTCGTGAGACTCGAATGTGTAACTCACTGAATGTGAACAATCATAACCCAAGATTCAATATCACTGGCCGGAGCGGGTCATTCCAAACATCTCTCTTTTTCATGGAAACTCCTTCAAAATCAAATATTTATAACATTGAGGGCGTGTACTGATCAGCATAGAAATGAAACTTTTGTTTCTTTAAAAATCCTTAACTGGCGTTAGCCATGTGAGTTCAAGTATAAAGCGTGCTATTTACTTTATTTAAAAACAAAAAAAATCAAATTCTCTCCAAATGACTCTTTTCTTTTTCAATAGTCTATCTCCAAAATGATGATTGAAAAAAATATTTGTGAACTAAATTACGTCTCAAACGATATTGCAAAACAAAGAGTGGAGTTCTATAAAATGGGTTAGCAATTGCTTCAGACACTTCCAAAAACTTTAAAATCACAACAATGTAATAAAAACTACAAATCCTAAATTAAACACAATATCTTAAAGTAATTATCCTAAAACGAAATAAATAAAAGAAATTAAACAACATACTACAAAAACAAATTCACATACAACAGATTGTGTAAAATTGTAAATAATGATTTTAACTATGCAAATCATAATGATTTCTTAGAAATTGAACTAATTGCTTGCAGACTCAAAACAAAGATAATTAGACTACTTGATTACTAAAACCAAAAGATAAGCTATGAATTGATCAAGGTCTAAAAACTTGTGAAATTAAATCTCAATCTAAAAATTGAAGTTAAACAAGTTATAAGTCTAGTGAGTGTACATAAACAAAGAAGAGAAGGTAAAAAGCATTCAATCAATTTACAAAAACAAATTATAAAAATGAATCCATAAAGGAAAGAAAACTAACCAAATCAACGAGACAAACACATTTACAAGGTTGAATTGCTCCCAAATCCTTAAAAATTAACAATAGTTGTAATCTTTAAAGGTAAATACAAACAAAGATGGAAAACCTAAACTAAAGTTATAAACAAGAATAGGTCTTGCACTATAATCTAGAAATCCACACTGAAATCTAGAAGAAAAAGTATAAAAGTTGAAGATGCATACGCGTAGGGCAGTTTGTGTATAGTCTTTCTTGCTGGACAGTTACCTCCTGTGATTCTTGCTTCTCATTTGCAAAAATCCTATAAAGGACCACGTCTAAGAGCAATTTCCCCTGTCTGGCCACTGGCAGTTAATTTCAAGTAAATCCTCTTAAAATCTCTCCACAATCTCTTAATTAAGTTAAATTTTGACCACTTAAAAGGCTTATCCTACTTGGACTCCAACCACCCCATCATAGCCCATTCGGTTAAGGCCCAAATCACCTATGGGCTTAACTCAACTCATCACTAATTCTCTACAAATGAGGCTCAATTAATCCTAAAAAAACATACACGTGTCCTCTCCCTATTTAATTTATTTTGGGTGTAAACAACTGTCCTCTATATTTTTTAGAAAGTTAAAGAATATTTTAGAAGTTTCATATTTCATTTGTCAAATGTGCAAATTGCCCCTATTTCATTACTACTTCTTTTATTTTAAAATATAAATTATTTGACATTTTGTGCATAATTTTAATTAAGTAATATTTTTTTATAATATATAAATGATAATTAAGATTTTTTTCTCTATACGGATTCTTATTGAATAGTTTTATTTGATTAAAAAATTCTCAAAGATAATTTATATACTATAAAAAAAGTATTATCTAAAATTATATGAAAAAATATTAAAAATCTTATATTTTGAAATAAAGGAAGTACAATAAATAAAAGGTAAAATTGAACATTTTAACCTTTATTTTACCTAAAGTAATTTTCAATAAACATTCTTGACTCCTCTTATTTTTTAAAGAGAAAAACTTTCACCTAACTTTTTTAATATAAGACTCATTTGATAATTTATTCCCAACATTCCTAATGTTCATTTTTTTATTGAAAATTTTAAAATAAATGACTGAGCATTAGTGTAATACATATAAACTAATCCAAACTCATCATATAATAACCTAAACGCACTTTTGTAGGTACGTAAGAAGGGTTAACTTTTTTATACATAGTTATTATTAATTAATTTCATTTAATAAAAGGAAATTGAACCATGAAACCAGCTGGAGAAATGAACATCTATACATTTTATTGCTGTTGACGCACCCAATTATATAAGTCAATGAATAAAACAATTTAATGATCACAATTCATCACACACACTTTTGATTAGAATAAAAGAATAATGAACATTAAACTTCCACTATGGTGTATCCTGGACGTCAAGTCACCAACTTCAGGCATCAGCCCAAATATCCTCACCAAGCAATCTGATCTTTCTCTTCACATCAACCATAAAGATCGTCCCCTCCGCCATATATTTTTCCTTGAGAACCACCTTGTCATTTGCCCTGATCGTCCCAGCAAACAGAAACAACAGTTCCAGTGGTCTCGTCATGGTGAACAGAGCAGGGGAAACTCCAGGCTTTTCCGGCTTTATCTAGTGCATCCATGTACAAATGCCCTTCCTCCGGTATACTTGATCCCACAGAACAAGATGGGATCAACAAGCATTTCTTGACATCGGATTCAATTAGTAACTTTGGGAACATTATTGCCATGTCGATGCTGCTAATATATGCTGCTTGTTTGTGAAGGTTGTTGGTGGGATTGGATTTCGGGATATGTGTAAGAGACTGCAGATTGAATAGGGAAGCTATGGATGCAGAAGATTGAATTTAGTTTTGCATTTATAGTTCAATTTACGGCGTACGGTTTACAAGGCCTATTTTTCTGGGAACAGTCAAGAAATTTAAAAGATGGATTTAAGAAGACAACACGGTCAACTATTAAGTTTGAACTTCGAATTGCGTTGTAATATTGGAACATCTTCATTTTCATTTCATGCAAGGAGACAACATTGACTTGATTATTTGAACTATGTTGTGTTAATCTCAGTGTGTGTATGTATTTTATTTTATATTATCTTAAATGCTCTGTTTGAATGTGTCAAGTTCAGGAGTTGTCATTCATTCTTAGCCTCGTACTTATTTTATGTGGAAAAATTGAATCGGTCAAAAAAGTTCTCACTTAACTTATATTTATTTGTTAGAAATTAAGACAAAATGACGTAAAAATTAAACTGAAAAAATGTAGTGTAGTTTAAATTGCATTTGACCATACTACACTAATCATTAGATGGAAGTGGGTCTTTAATTAGATATTAGAAACTTCTTTCATTTAATAATTATTTTTTGATAATTTAATATGATTTAAAATGTAAAATAAGATTCTCAAACTAAAAATATTTTTAATTAACATTAGTGCAATAGACTCTCAACCAACAAAACAGCTAGGGCTTGTTTAGTCGGTAGCAATAGTTATTTCTTAGTTGAATTATAAAAATAAATTAAAATTGAAAAAATTCTATAGTAAATGAGGAATAAAATTAAATCTTAAAATATTTAATTTTTCTTTTGCATTTGCCAATAATCAAAGAGCACCGATTTCTTAAAAATGAAATAAATACATTTTTTTATTCATCCCTTATTTTAATAGGAAAATATGAATAAGCTTAACCATTTCTACCTTATTAAGAAAATTTTTAAAATTTAACCCTTTTTTTAGTTTGATTAAGAAATAACTATTATTACCAACCAAACTTGAGGGATTCTCCTGTTCCTTCACTATGCCCCCTTCTTCTGTACTACCAAAAAACAAAAAAGAGTCATGGCATCTCTAGAATTCACAAGTTATTCTGCACCACCAAAACAAAATGGTCATGGACTCATGGTATCTCTGGAATTCACAGGAAAAAGATATGGGTACACCATGGGGAGCAACTGAATCTCTGTAAATGGATTGTCTGTTTTCTTCCCTTTTCTAATAAAAAATTGTTAGAATTGGAACCGAATCAGGCCCACTCTAAAAATTGTTAGAATTGGAACCGAAACAGGCCCAGAATTAGAATGTGCAGCATATATAGTGGGCCGGTTGATGTCCCTAATTCCAAAACACCAAGACCATTGGTTCAAAATTAGAACCTGTCCTATGGCCGCGAGGCCCACGACTAATTAGATCGGAGCCCTAAATAAAGATTGTTGTTTCGAAATCATGCCCAGGTTTTGTTTGATTGAGATTTGAGAGTGCTTTACATAATTTTCATTTTTTAGATTATAATATTTAAAAATGTAAATTTATTATAAACAATTAATTTTCATTAATATTATATATATTTAATAATTTTAATTAATATCTTATGTATTTAAAAAAAATAGAAAAAATTAGAATCACAACAATTTTAAACAAAACCTTTGTTATTGGATCTTTTATTTTACCATAAAAAATTTATGTATTAAACAATGTCACTAGATTGTTTCTTTATCAATATGTTCTCCTTTTTTTTCCTTTTACTTTTAAGTAATAATTTTTGTGACCAAAATTTTGAACAAAATTATTTTATTTGTTAATTATGTGGATCTATATAAGACCAACACCAAGATCAATAAACACCATAATTCGTCACAAAATTTGGTCGTAACAATTGCATAAATAACTAAGAAAAATCAGAGCCTATATTAAGATATAGTACCAGAGGTTTTGCCTGCATTAGATATGCTTCTCTCCACGTTTAGGCTTCAACACAAGTGCTGACGCAGTACTTGACTACACGCACCAAAGTCCAGCGTACCACAGGCCAGACCACAGGTGAATCAAAAGAAACAGGAATTAACATTTTGCACAAGTAGAACAGGACATTTCCAGCTAAAATTGGTAACCATTCAAGCAACACCAGCTTCAGCAGTGAAGTTCTCCTGACAGTGCCATCTCTTTTCCAAAGAACGTTGAAGAATTTCTCCAATTCATCGTCTCCAAAAACATCCTTGACGAGCTGCATCAAGGCATTCCTCGTCAATGCCAGAATTTTATGTTGGACTAAATCCATACCTCTGTTGTTATATAGTTCTGGCTTTGAGAAGAGTAGCTTCAGAACTCAATATGATTGCCTGAAATGTGAGAACAAAGCTGGTTTGTTCACAAACTTATACTTCATAGAAGCATTTGGTCAATTGAGTGGGCTTCAGATTGTCGAAGCAAATCACCACCGACAGGATATGCTCTTTGCTAAATCTGATATAACAGCAACAACTCCTATCAAGCCGGCCGCAGAGAATATTTACTTGTTTAAGTAAAAGGGTTTCTACGGGCGCAATCAATCACATTTTCAAGGCAAAAGGGTTACTTTTTCAAATATCTTTCTCTTGTTTATGTTGAACTCGTTCAATATGATTGCCTGAAATGTGAGAACAAGGTTGGTTGGTTCACCACTTTATACTAGTTGGTCAGTTGAGTAGGGTTCATTGAATCACAAGCGTGTAAAATTAATTTCGTACAGCAAATGACAACTGACACAGCATATGCTATTTGCTAAATCTGTTCTCACAACAATAATTCTAATCAAGTGGCAAAGAATATTTACTTATTTAGGTAAGAGCCTTTTTTCCTAAAATAAATGAATTAACTGCTTAGTATAATAAAAATTTAAAATTTTGATCTTAAACTCAAATTAAGTCTTTTAAATTAGTAAATCAATAGGTATTAATTTAGTTAAACGGTTAAACATTTGTTGGTTATTTAGGTAAAAGTTGTTTCACTTGTATTTTAAAAATGTAATAAATACATCATTTTACAATTAATTTATATATCAAGAAAAATCATTTTACAATTAATTCACATAAAAATTGTAAAAACTAACATTTATTTTAATATTAATGGCACATAAATAGTTTTAATAGATTAAATTAAACTCAATATTTGTATTTTTTATTTAAATTAATTACTACAAAAGAGTGTATTAAATGTATTCTTAACTTTTATCTTAAAGGATACAAAATAGAAAAATCATTTAAAAAACTATTTGTTATAGTAATTTCAAATTAGCACTTAGTTATTTTGTTCAAATTAATGGTTAATAATAATAATAATTATTAATTTAAATACTCTTCTTTATTTAATTAAATAAAACTACAAATAATTATTAACTAATTTCAAATCATTACATTGTCTAAACACCGAATCAATCACCTTCTCAAATTAAAGTTCAAATATCTTTCTGTTTTGGCAAAACCCATTGATAGACCCCTAACTTATCCCATTTTATCAATTGAACCCTTAAACAAAAATTATGCAAATAAACCCTTCAACTGACCTGTTGTAGGCTTGTAGCAAATTAGCCTTTGGGTTAAAAGACACCGTTAAATTCCGATGACATGTAGACATGTAGTTAAAATCGACATACCCGTTAACCTCAGACAATCTGGCAGCAACAGAAAAATTCTAATTGCAATTTAATCTTTAAAAGATCAAATTTTAAATAAATATAGTCCCTCAATTTTAAGTATTTAATATTTACTAATAACGTCTAAATTTAAGTCTTTTTTTGTCTCTTACTTCCCAATTTGCAGCCAAAATGTTAAAAACTAACGTGTTTTTGTAATGATTTTATCAACAAGACCCAATCATCCAAACCCCCCAACAGATAATTCAATCAAAGCAATCGTTGATGGTTATGAAACAACAATCTCTTCATCTTTCCTCTATTGAACCATGAAAAGCAAACCTTCAGCTGCTACTTAACCCCATGCCTAGTACAGTGCTCTTCAATCTCCTCTTTCCATTGCCATCACCATCTTCATCATTTTGAGCATATCTCAACCTTTCACACCCTTTCCACCCCTACCAACCATTATTGGCTTCAGTTCGTTTCGTCTGCCACCACGAAGTTCATCGACATCTCTTCACAATAACCCATCCTGTAGACGATTTACCGCATTTCATCCATATCACAACGCACAGACTGTACTTCTGGTGGTACTCCTCCATTACACTATTTGATTGTGTTAAAGAGATTAAGTAATAGATTAAGTAATACAAAGGAAATTGGATAAAAGGAAGAATGGCAAGAAGAATAAGAAATTGAAGATGTTAAGGTTACTAGAGAGAAGTTTAAAGTAAAAATAAGAAAATGCAACCATGGATTAATGGTGGCATGGCATTTATAATGGATTTTTATGTTTTTAATTTTTAAGTAAAATGCTTAGAGTTCAAGGACAATATCTATTTGAAATTTGACTATTTGAGGGATTAAATTTGCAATTGACAGATTACCCGTTATTGCCACGTCAATGATATAACCGCATTTTTTTTATTTTGACTGCTACAGTCAGCTGGGTTTAACAGAGACTAACAGCAGTTATTAACGGAAGAGCTGATTTGACGTAATTAGGCAGTTGAAGGGCTCACTTGCTGCTTTATTTTTTGTTTAGGGGTTCATTTGGAAAAGTATTCATTGATTTCACAAAATTTTGTACCGTTAAAATATAAAGTTTATAGAGTCACAACTTGGTTTTCATCTTGCTTAAAAAATAAAAATAAAAACCCTAGCCCCCCTCTCTCTTTTCACACTCTGATTTTTTCCTTTTCTCTTTTTTTTTTTTCTTCTTCTTAGTTGTCATTGCCTCTCTTCTCCTTGACGGCTAGGGTGTATGGCTAAAAGTGAGATTTCTCTTTTCTGTTGTAAGAAATTTCCCCTCTTATGGAGGTTTCTCACTTTTTTTTTTAGGGTTTTTACCTTGACTTTTATCAAGATTTGCTTTTGTCAAAAGAAGATGACAATTTGAATGTGATATTAGCTAGACTCATATCAATTGTTGTACTTGCTTTAATTGTTGAATGCATGGTTATGGACAAGGTTTTTAGCTAAATTTTTTTGGCCTTAACTAATTTATATTCTATTTGGATGGATTATGCTAGAATGTGACTTATGTACTAAATTTTAAGTTCAAGTTTAGTTGTGATATTCCTATAAACATTTAATTAGTTGATTTTGCATTTTTATGTATTTTATCAATGTAATACCTATGCGTATTACCTCAATTGGGTTAGTCTTGTAGCTCTTATGTTTTTCATATATTAATGAAATTTTATTTCTCAAAAAAATACAAGTTTTTAATTAAATAATTATAAATGTTAAATTAATTTGAAAATTAAACTACAACAATGGAACATTAAATTAAATCTAACTATTGATTTTAAAAATATTTATTAGAGGGTGGGATTTTTGAAGTCATGATTTTAATTTTTTTAATAAAAATTAAAATTAATATGCACATTCTTCCTTAAGTTTTCCCAAGTTACCTAATATTAATTTCTTGTTGAAAATTTTGAAACGTATAGCTTAAAATTAATACAACACTTACAATCATACAAGTTAATCCTAACTTATCATATAAAAATATATCATAATTATAAGTTTTAGTATCTAATTATCTATTTTAGCTGAGTGCACTTTGTATTTATATCAACAAGGGTTAAATTTTTGTACCAGCCTCTTAGGACACCGTTGGTAAGTGTAATAGCTTAGCATTAGCCAGCTTGAGCCGCTAAAATTTCCCCTCCCATCTCCAAAGTGTAGTTGCTCAAAAACGTTAAAAAAAAAAAAAAAGAAAGAAAGAAAAGAAAAGAAGGGATAAATTTTTATTCATAATTCGCTATTGATTAATTTCATATAATAAAAAGAAATTGGGTTATGAAACCAGCTGGAGAAATAAACTTTAATACATTTTATTGTTGTTGTTGACACATCCAATTATGTATGTCAATGAATAAAAACAATTTAATCACCACAATTCATCACACACACTTTTGATTAGTACAAAAGAATAATAAACTTCCACCATAGTATGTCCTGGACACTAATTAAGTCACCTACTTCAGATATCGTCCCCTCCGCCATAGATTTTTCCTTGAGAACCACCTTTCATTTGCCCGACACCTTTCTCGCGAACAAATTCGTCCCAGAAAACAGAGACAACAGTTCCAGTGGTCTCGTCATGGTGAACAGAGCAGGGGAAACTCCAGGCTTTTCCGGTATTATCTAGTGCATTCATGTACAAGTGCCCCTCTCCCGGTGTGCTTGATCCCAGGCATGTTGATGTTGCTAACAATCTTGCTTCTCGCGGGTCGTATTTCGATTCTGACTGAGAGACAAGTGCAATGGGGAAGTTGTGGACGCAGAAAGATTGAATTTGGTTAGGATAATACTATATAGATAATCTTTTTATCTTATTTTTTAATATAATTTTTATATGTTATTAAATAAATATATATTTAATATTACGAGTTTCATATAAATTAAAAAAATTAATCATTTTAATAATACGTTATGTTGTATAAAAAAATAAAATAAAAAAATAAGATAAAAAAAACAAAAAAATTATTAAAAAAACATTTCTCATTTGATTATATATTTGTAATTCAATTTACGCGTATTACAGTACGGCCGAAGAGTCAAAGAAATTTCAACGATGGCCGAAAAGTCAACCATTACCAGTTGCCTAGTAATATTTGAACATCTTCAGTTTCGTTTAAGGAAAGAACATTGACTTAGTTGAACCATGTTTTGTAGATCTCCAAACGATAATATTTAGGCTTGTTTACATTATTAGATGCCATAACAATGTACTTAACAGTTTGATGGCAAACATCAGATTTTTAATAATTATTATTTATAATATAAACGCTCTTATTTACCTAATTAAAGACAATTAATCTCAAACAAAGTCTAAATGATGGTTTTAAATCCAAAACTTAACAAAGAATTAGTCATGGGCTTTTTCTGATCATCATATATGTGGAAAATTGCTTCGGTCAAAAGAGTGTTTACTTATGCATTTTAGATATGATATATTGTCCAAGAAATTAGCATAGAATCATATAGAAACTACTAAAAAAAACAAACCATATTGGATTGAGATTCCTTTTACTATTTGATAAGGCGGTGGAGTTTATTCAATTGAAACCATTCCATTGGAATTAAGAGTAAAATGAGAGGATGTGTAGCGATGGCATACTTGTGGCTGCATCCCATCCTCCTTTCTCTTTTTTCTTTAGTTGAGAAAGCAAACTGTGGAGTAATTAAGCCTTAGTGTTTTATTTATTTATTTATTTATTACATTAGCTAAAAATGAAAGAATACATAATTTTCATTCATCTTTTAATTTAATAGAAAATTATTAACAATAATTCCTAATTTATTAAAAAAAGTTTCTTAAATTTAATTTATTTTTAAAATTTGATTAAAAAATAATTATTATCACCGATCAAATATGATCTTTAGCTCTTATATTTGAACTTTGGAGGATCTGCCTCCCCTTCGCTATGCCCTCTTCTTCTGTACTACCAAAAAACAAGTCAGGACTCAGGACATCTCTGGAATTCACAGGAAGAAGATACGGGTGGCGTGAGGGACAACCGAATTTCTAAATATAAGAAAATTTTATTCTACAATTTAATGTATTAAATTATAAAATAAAAATTATTGAATGAAGAAAAAACTCCCTAATATTAAAAAATTTATTCTTATCTAATAGTTAATAATCCAATTTGATATTACCTAAATTGTATTATACTTTTTCGTGATTTTAAATGGATTGTGTATTTTCTTCCCTTTTTCTAATAAAAAATTGTTAGAATTGGAACAAAAACAGGCCCAGAACGAGGATGGGCCGCATATATAGTGGGCTGGTTGTAGTCCCATACTCCAAAGAACGAATACCATTGGTTCATAATTGAAACTTGTATATGGCCATGAACATGACTAATTAGATTGGAGCCCTAAATTAAGACTGGAGCTTCAAAATCATGCTTAATGCTATTGGATTTTTTTTTTCCCGTCAAAAACTTATAAATTAAACAATTGGCTAATTTAATTATTTTTTATTTTCTTTTAAAATTGTCTATTAACTTTTAAAATTATATTAATTTTATGTACCTAATTAATTAGATTGATAGAAGTCTATGTCATTGTTTATGTGGTACTATGTAAGCTACCATAAGCAATATATGGCCTGAAAACAGAGGGAAAATTCCAGCCTCTTTGTTTCCCAACCTAATTAACAATAAATAATTAAATTATAATTTAATTTAATTAAGATAAAATTCAATTAAAAAAAAAACAAAATTATTCATGCCACATGTTGCTTATGTGGCAAATTAGACGGCAGCACATAAGTGATTACATGGACTTCCACCAATCTTATTAATGAAATTGTGTTAGATAGTTAAAATTAATGTAATTTTGAGTTAATAAAAGATTTTAAAATAAAGTAAAAATTTAAGATTAAAATAAAAAAAGTTAATAATTAATAAATAATTTATTAAATTAAGCCATAGACAAGGTCATTGAATAGTTTTCTCATTAATATCTTCTTTTATTTTTTTTAAAGCACATACTATACATCTTGTAACTATTAATAAGAGATAAACACTTTGAAATTAAGGTTAACTCCCTCCATTAATTGTTATAAAATGTATAATAAACATATAAGGTAAATTATAAAACAACTATCACACTTTTTTGTCTTTTTTTTTTTTTTTGGTACACTTGAATAACTACGAAAATCAGTGCTCTATATTAAAGCTATTTTATCAGAGGTTTTGCCTCTATAATATATGATCCTCTCCACCTTTAGGCTTCAACCCAAGACTTAACGCAGTACTTGATTACATGCACCAAAGTCCAGCGGACCACAGGCCGGACCACAAGTGAATCAAAAGATAGAGGAATTAACATCTTGTACAAGTAGAACAGGACATTTCCACCTAAAATTGGTATCAATTCAATCAACACCAGCCTCAGCAGTGAAGTTCTCCAGGCAGTGCCATCTCTTTTGCAAAGAATGTTGAAGAACTTCTCCAATTCATCGCCTCCAAAAACCTCCTTGACGAGATGCATCAGTGCATTCGTCATCATTGCCAGAATTCTACGTTGGACTGAATCCATCCCTCTGTTGGTATAGACTTCTGGCTTCGAGAAGAGAAGTTTCAGACTTCAATATGATTGTCTGAAATGTGAGAACAAGGTTGGTTTCCTCACTAATTTATACTTTTATTATTTTATAATTCTAGTTGGTCAATTGAGTTTGAAAGCATTAATTGTTGTTGAGCAAATGACAACGGCCACCATTTACCAAAATAAATAAAAAAAAACAACGGCCAGCATGCACGGCTCCGATCATAAAAATATGTGCTCACAGCAATAACTCTTATAAAGCCGCAAAAAATATTTCCTGATTTAAGCACAGTAAAATGCCGCGCGGCTGCCGCAATTCAGTCACATTCTCGAGTCAAAGGGTTACTCGGTCAAACAACTCTCTTTTTTCATGGGAACTCATTTAAAATCAAATGTTTAAAATATTGAGGGTTTGAACCGTTGTTCAGCATGGAATTGAGAAGATTTCGAAATGAGCTACTGTGTAGTGTAGTATTTATATTAGTGTAAATTAATTATAATTTATCAAATAATAATACATTGTGATGTTAAATTTTAGTCGTATGCCATTTTAATTAAGGTTTTTTTTTATATATAATTTAAAGGTAACAGTTAAAAATTTTGTTTAAATTGTTAAGAATATATTTTTGATAAATTTGTTTATTTTAAAATTACTATAAATTAAGTATTTAATAAAGAATTGTATTTAACATTTTGAAATTAATGAATATTAATTAAAATTTAAATTACAATGGATTAAAATTTTTTAATTTTATTCATAAATTTATTCATTTTAATTTTTTAATTTTTTACCACAATTTTTAATTAGTAGTTATCTAATTAGTTTCAATTTTATTTTTTTCTTTTTAATAACATTAAGTAATTATTATATTTTTATTTTTTACATTAATTTATCATAAAAATTTATATTGACTTAATAAATAAAATTTATTAATTAGAGGAAATGATTAAAATTTTATTCTTTATTTAAAAATAATATAATTTTGTTATTAAAAATAAAATAAGTGTGTGATTACACTTGTTATATACATATTAAGTATTTTTTAATAATATATATTATTTACATCATATAATATTTTATGATATATTATATATATAAATGCATTATTTTTAGGAGCATGCACGTGGGGTACGGTTTTTCTTAAGGCATGAAGCAATGTCAAAAACAAGAAAAAAAGAGATAGAAGAGGTGGTTTAAAAAAAATTTTGTTAACAAACTAAATAATTCAGTAGATATTTTTTTTGTTGAAAATAAAATATTTTAAATTCGAGTCATATAGCATGTGAGTGAAGTGAAATAAAGAATAGAAGATAATTATTTTCTATTGTACAACTAAAATTAAAAAAAAAAAAAACTTTTTCAATAATTATTTGAAAATACTTTCAAATTTAACTTTGAATTTGAAATGAGCAAAAGAAACCATTTTAAACTATGTAGAAGTATTTTTAAAAGGTTCTGCTATAAACATAAGATATAAATAAGTTATAAAATTCTTTGAAAAGTTAACTTTGTTTGAGACTAGTGTAAAAAGTATCCATTGAGGTTTATACATAAATAAAATAGCCCCCATGGATACAGCTACTTGGGATTTTTAGTTTCATTGCTTTCTTCTTTGAATTTCTACACTTTACTTTCAAATTTCAATATACTAGTTTTGGGTGATTAAAATTTATTTTAGTAGATGTTATATTTTGGAGATAACATTTCTTATAAAGAGGTAGAAACCATTATCCTTAAAAAAGATTCATGAAAATGCCTTGCCCACAACAATTGAATTTAAACTCTCTACATACAACAACACTATTATAATTTATTGGTTACACACTTGATTTGGTCCCTCAACTATTATACAAACCATTGATTTGGTCCCAAAACTTAAAAAATTTTTAATTTGGCCCCAAATTGATCCTTTCACACAAAAACAAATGACGAATTTCATTATTAACATGACATATACACTACTAAAAAAAGCCTACAAATGCATTGGAAAATACTCAAAATGCACTAGAAAATACTCAAAATGCACTGAAAAATTTTTATTTTCTAACGTTGTGCGTTGGAAATTGTTGATGGAAAAAAACTAGTTATTTTTCAGTGCAAAAGAATACGTCAAAAAAACTTACTACTTAGTGCTAGAAAATAATGGTTAACAGCAAACCCATAATGTGTTTTAAGTTGTTGTTATCACTTATTTTCTAGCGCTAAAATGATTGATATGTTAACAGGATAGCTATTAGTTTATAGCACTCAATGCTGAAAAATAGTTGATACATAATTTTAAAAATATGTTTTTCAAAATTTAAAATTAATTAGTGTTGCCCAAGCAGAAGAATGTTAGAAATTTTATGTGGGTTTTTGCTAATTGTATTTAGTTTTCAAAATTATGTCAAATGAAAAACTAATAAAGCCCAATAAAATTATGTGATCCAAGTAAGTTTAAGTTTATATCTTAGTTTTATATGGTATGATATAAATAGATGTAAAACTTGAAATTAATGATGGGCTACCTAATGGAGGTATCTAAGAGATTATTAGAATGGAATAGATCTCCTCTTTCCTTTAGAAAACTCTACCTTGTGAGTAGTAGAGATAGGGAATAATATAATTCATTGGTTATCATTATATAGAAGTTGAATAAGCAGAGGAAGACTTAAATTCCAATACTAATTATATTTATTTTATGCCAACGACTTAAATAACTCAGTGATCATCTCTTTTCGTTGGAAGTAAGAGGTTTTGAGTTCGAATCGTATGGCATGCATGTGAAGTGTGATAAAAGATAAGAAACAGTTGCTTCTTATTGTGCAACCAAAATAAAAAAAAAATTATATTTATTTTATGAATTTTGTCTATAATGATTCTTAAAAATTCTTGAATAAATATTAATTATGGAGATTAAGATAATGTAATTGATTGATTTTGTTTATTATATATATCACTAATTTAACTGATTTGGTGTTTTAAAATCTAGTTAATGAGATCGTTTAAGTAAATTCCAACACTTCTAGGCTACACATCCCCATCGCCTACCCCCAAATTCTACCCGTTCCAAAAAAAAAAAAAAACCATAAAAATCGTCCTCTCCGCTGAGAGATATTTAGTTGAGAACCACCTTGTCATTTGCCCAGACACCTTTCTAGCGAACAAATTCGTCCCAGCAAACAGAAACAATAGTTCCAGTGGTCTCCTCATGGTGAACAGAGCAGGGGAAATTCCAGGCTTTTCCTGCATTATCTAGTGCATTCATGCATGCGCAAATGCCCTTCTTCCGGTATACTTGATCCCATAGGAAAAAGAAGGTATGTGCAAGTTTTTCTTGACATCAAATTCCAGGCTTTTCCGGCATTCTCTAGTGCATTCATGCACGTACAAATGCCCTTCTTCCGGTACAACTGCATTCATGCATGGTTTCTTGCGGTGGGAGTCATTCCCTTCAATCCATATCCACGTTTAGGCTAGAACCCCAGTGCTGACGCAGTACTTGACTACGTGCATGAAAGTCCAGCGTGCCACTGGCCGGACCATAAGTGAATCAAAAGACAAAGGAATTGACATTTTGCACAAGTAGAACAGGACATTTCCATCTAAAATTGGTATCAGTTCAAGCAACACCAGCTTCAGCAGTGAAGTTCTCCAGGCAGTGCCATCTTTTGCCCAAAGAATGTTTGCGGAACTTCTCCAATTTATCTTCTCCAGAAACATCCTTGACAAGATGCATCCAGGCATTCCTCATCAGTGCCAGAATTCTATGTTGGAGAATCCATACCTCAGTTGGTATATATTTCTGGCTTTGAGAAGGGTCGCTTCAGACCTTAATATGATTGCCTGAAATGTGAGAACAGGCTGGTTTCTTCACCAATTTATACTAGTTGGTCAATTGAGTGGAGTTCATTGAATCACAAGCGTGTAAAATTAATTTTGTTGAGCAAATGACAACTGACAGCATGCTTTTTGCTATATCAGTTCTACCTGCAATAACTAACAGAGCCGCAAAGGATATTTGCTCATTTAAGATAGATAGTGTGGGTGGCAGGCGCAATCAATCACATTATCTAGTCAAAGGTTACTTGTTCAAATATATCTCACTACAAGAAAAAGGCTTATTATCTGCATTTGTTAAGGGATTTATCTGTATTTTTAAATGTAGATAAAAAAGTTACCAGCATTTGCATGAATGCCACACAAATGTTGGTAGAGGTGAAGCTGGTAAAACCATACCTGCATTTTATATAAATGCTGGTATAAACTTCTTTTCCCCTGCATTTATTAAAAATGCAAGGAAATCACATTAAAAAATGCAAGTGAAATCCATGGAAAAGTCCCAAATAGCTACTGTTTTTACTTGCACTTTTTGTCAAACG